CCTACGGCGTTCCAGACCACTGGCCGCCGATACACTCCGCAACAACTGCAAGCACGCGCCCGGGGACCTTCCGTCACCAACGGACCGTCGGTGTCGATGAAGAGCCCGCCTGCTCATCGTCCATCAAGCCAGCACCAGCCCATGACGCCTCCGCCGCCGATGCTGCGATCCAGCGGCTACGACTCGGATGCTCACCCTGGCGACTTTGACGACCATGACTTCTTTGAGGATTAAGAATTTCCATTCATATCAGTGGGAATGTGGAGGATTTCTTTTGTCTTTCGCACCGCAGTCAATCTTTGACGCAGCATGCTTTTGAGCCCAAGACTGGACACACTAGAATGATGATACCCCCTTTTTCGCAAGACAACTACTACAACATCCTGCTGAGAAGATACACATACAACACTCAGATGATGGACACTGCCCTTTCTTCATTTCTCCGAGACACGAAACTATTTGTTGTTTGGGGACATCAAGGGAGAGGTATTAAAGTAATTTTCCTTTGTACTTTCCTGATGCATAGCGGGAAAAGAAAATGACGATGAATGGAGGATGGATCGATTTTGCAAGGGGAGGCCTACAGGCCGCTCGCTTTTACGCCTGTCATTGCGTTCTGCCTACACACTACTACAACTACACAAGACGTATATAGTAATAATTTGCCCGCCCGAATTGGCTTTAGCTCAATAGAGACTGATGATTCTCTCGTTTAACAACTGCCTTGTCTGATATATTGTGTAGAGTGCCCGATCGTCGATTCTATCTTGGCTACTAAACGGCTGCCTAGACGGTCGAACATGGCGGCGTGAACCAATCAACCAAATCAACGAAGACTAGACGCGCCACGAAGCCTGACAGACTCTGACGAACGGTCCAGGCAAGGGAGCAAACATTCAGATCGGCGGGACGGTGGCAGCCGCACTCTGCTGCGGAGGATTTCTGCGGCTATGCCAGGTGGGTACACCCGTTCCTGATGCAATGCCGATCGTTGGAAAACAAGGCTACGCTCGTAAGCGACGACGCTCCACCCAAGTGTGTATCTTAAGCTTGAATGACAATGATTGGCGCTGGGAACGAGGCGAAGGCTCGGCCCCAGGCTCAGCAGGCACCATCATTATGTGGTTCGTGGTTGGCTTTCGCGTTGGTTGTGGATCGAGACCGAGTTGTTCCCGTTGATCGGTTGCCAAGTTTCTCTTCTCGTACTCAGCTCTGCCTACTAGGGACAAGAGATTCAAATGCGCGGCCGGGGTTGCGATCCCGGCGACGGGTACGGCTCGGGAGTTGAGGATGCCAAGGACGTGAGTTGAGGTGCTCTTGTTTGCGGTTAGTTCGCAGATGCGGCTATGCAGCCAGGCTATGTATGGTTGGATGCAATCATCAATGATGAAATCAAATGCATGCTAAAATAAAGGTTATGTTCGCAACACTTGGATGGCGATTAATGTTTTGGTAGCTCTTAACACGAGCACAGTGTCGTGACAATATACTTGGCTCTTTGGACAGGTATTAGCACAAGGACCGTGTGTTATTGCACTGCGCGATGGCCATGTAGCTGCTCCGCCATACAACTGTTTCCCACAAGTGGGTAAGAAAACTGGGTGAATAACTCCTTCAGTGGATCACGAGGCTTATTTTTGTCCCATGGGGTCTGCCATCACGGTCAGTCGTTCTCTGTCCTATCCGCGTGTATGCTTCATTGAGATCGCCGATGAGTCTTCTCCAGTTTTTCCCCTTCGCTGATGGCAGTCTGGTCTCACTAGAGAAGTTTTCTAACTTGGACTAGGCAACAAAAGAACTTCCTTTGGCGGAGAACGACTGTTTACGATGTGCTAGGCACCGAGTTGAGTTGAGAAGCATCACGATGCTATGAAATCAGCTTATTGAGCTTCGAAGACGTCGGGCAAACGGGGATTGCCATCCTTCAAAGTATTTAGCAAGCAGAATAAACGTATAAAAGCCTGTGTCAAGTCACGGAAAGAACGCATCTCAGTGTCAGCAACAACTCTACATTCCTCATTCTTCACCCAGTTTCACCAACACACCTCTCATACAGACACATATCATCATTACAATGTCTTCCATCCGCAACCTCTTCCTCGGGCTCCTCAGCCTCTCCGCCACCGCCTACGCCGAGCACCTCCGCGTGGTCTGGTCCTCGGGCAGCTTCTCGACCATCAGCGGGCCCGGCGCCGGCTCCCAGAGCGGGCACTACAGCGGCTTCGCCATCGTCAACGATAACGGCGATGCCATCTACGACGACTCCACCCCGAGCGACCACTCGCCCTGCTACAACACGGGCAACGGCCGCACCTTCACCATCGAGGGCTCCTGCTGGGACACCCCGCGCGTGTTCCACTGCAAGTCCGACTTTGGCGGCATCCCCGAGACGTGCGACGTCAGCACCAAGGACGGCAACGAGCTCGGCAGCGGCACGCAGCAGAAGGACACCGAGTTCATCGGGATTTCTATCGGAATCGACGGCAGCTGTGTTGTCGAGTTTGACTCGGACGGTCCCGGGTGCCCTGTTGATGACGGCAACGGTCCTCTGCACGTTACCTCTGGTTAGAGGACGAGGCTTTCGGGGGTGAAGGGTCTGGGCTCTTGACATGCATCGATACGAGAGAGTGTGGGGCTTGCGGAACAAGTCTATCCAGACCAGAGGAGATTGTGTTGTCATAGTTCTGACTTATTTGTTTTGTACACATTCTCGTGCCGGCTGGAGAGCAGCTGCGCTTAGTTACCACTGCTTTGAAACATGAAACATATGAAAACGCATAGATGAGCTACATTGAGTCCCAGACACAGTGGTGAAGTATCGTGCTATGCCCGATGGACAAGATGTCCAAGTGTACTTCGTTGTCCAATCACGAAATATGACTTTCAAGAGTTATCAACAGCATGTAAGGTGAGGCATTTGCCGATGACTTGAGCAACCACATCTCTTCGATAAGCGACCTCAGTCATGCGATCCGGCCTGGTAATCTTGCCTTCCAGGGTAGAGTAACCATTGGTTTCATGTGGTTTGGGAAGTAAATCGGATGATCATGAGAAGAGGAGGTTGAAAGACTCGCGGAGACCGGGACTCAACTTGCTCAAGTCCCTCAGGTTCTACACCTTTCCACCACTTTTAGTGTCCAAAAGCAGTCATGTATCCATCTTGTTGTCGGAGCGACTCGCTCACCGCATCGTGAGGGATATCCTGAGCACCGTTCCCGAAGTTGTAATGAGTTGCCCGCTCACTGCTGATCCCGTCCCGGTTGGGATTGAAATTTTTACGAGCTCAGAGATGCAAGCGTTTCGACATTGGAAGTCCAAGATGGTTGGTCTCTGCGCTTAGGTTGTATGGTAACATCATAGCACAACTACCACAAATTACCATAGAACATTCCATAGCCCAAGTCGTTTTCGTCGTTTCAATTAAGAATCTTGGCATCATGTTTGTTGATGCTAAATTCCTCGCCGGCTCCGCTTGGGGTATGTTGTCGTGTGCCGTCACGGGTCTTCGCAGCCGGCGTCCCCGCCCCCGCCGCCCGGAACGAATCCAGGGGCGATTTGCCCCACTACGACTTCTGACTGCTCTTGACTCAAGAGTCAACACGACTGGCAGTTCAGATAGTGTTCATTTAAAGTTCCAAAAATCCCCATAAGGAACTCAGGATATGCCGGACTGGTGATTGGTGCACAGAGGATTGAAATAGGCATGTCCCTGGTCTTGGCAATCTACCGGGCGGGCCGCCTTGGCATTGGGTGGTATTATTATCTTCACATATCGGACAGACCGATTCACTGGCGCTGATCTGAATGTTTTTCTTCTCGTCTATGACCCCTTTGCAATGCTTTGAGCGTTGGAGTCCCAGTATATAGCTTCATACTGCTTCCTTCAACTTGGTCAATATGAATGGTCACACGACAGCCGTTCTCTCATTGATCCCGTCTGCTTAACTCAATACACTCTTTTGTAACTTTCATCACATCCTATCAATCAACAATGGCGAAGTTTCTCGGTTTTCTGGCTGTCTTGCTGATGTACGTCGATATCCCCGACATCTTCTCTCGCGACTGAGAACTAATCTCTTCCAGGGCGGCCAACGTCAACGCTGCCAAGCACCGCCTCTGTGCCTGTATCACCGACCAGGGCGCCATCGGCATGCAGATCGACGAAGAGGCCTCTAAGGCTGTAGTTAAGGCATCCGAAGGAAAGTTCGTCTATAGTAAGCTCTTCCCATTCCAACATACCCCTGACAACGTCACTGACCAATTCCCATAGGCGACGGTCCTTGGTTCACGGACCCTCTTATTCACGACGCTCCCTACAGCGGCCCCTACGTAAGTCATTCTCCTTTGCATAGCAGCGGCGCATTGCTGATGTAGATAGTTCCACGCTATCGACGGCGACGTCAACGGTGCCAACGATGACGGCTGGCTCGGTGGTAACGAGGTTCACGGACTTTGCGGCAAGCAGTTTGCCGAAAGCTCTTGCTGGACACCCTCAGATACGTTCAACTGGCGTGGCTGTGGTGCAAGCCAGGTCTGCTGGACCTCCAAGGCTGACAAGACTGATGGTTTCGGAACACCTATTTGAGAAGACAAAAGCGATGTGCACTTTTATATACCCCCATAGAAACGGCGTTCAAAATAGATTCTGGGTTTTCAATGAGCCTCTTCTATATTCGTTGGTGAATTGATTCCAGCCTTTACAGGTGATTTCACCCAGCAAGTGCGCCGCACTGCCGCGTACCGACTTGAACACCAGTCCCGGCCTGGTAGCCCAAACAATGTGTTAACATACAGTACGTTTTGGTAGGAAAGGTAAGAATGATAACATGTGTGTAAGGCCGAATTCTAAGACCTCTCTATCATCTATCGTCCCTATTTAAGAAGGGATTGATATAATGACATTCAGCGAAGTTGATGGATGTGTAATGATTCTTTAGCACACCCTTCCAACCACATCTTAGTGCTCATGTGGTCGGCCGTTCTCATCAAAATTGCATGTCCTAGTGTGCGTGTTCATGGCCACAACCCTGGCGCTTCCTCATTTTGACAACCTCGGCCCGTCCCTGGGTGTCGAGGTGCTCACCGTGGAGCCCGCCAATCACTCTGCGGGCCATCTTCGCAGCAACGGCGTTGTCATTGGGGAACTTGGGCGTGACATCTCTCCCAAATGTAGACTGCGCACCGTCCTCGAGGTACACAACCTCACCCCCGAGCATTGTAAGCAGCACCTTGTTACGCCCGAGCTCCTCATCGGGCACTTCAAAGAAGTTCTTCTCGGTGACGATGATATCCGCAAGTTTGCCAACCTCGAGAGAGCCAATTTGCTCATCGGCCCGCAAGAATTTGGCTCCGTTGATGGTGGCTCCCTTCAGGACGGACTCGCGGGAGATACCTCTGCCAGGGAACGGTCCGTCATAAAGCTCGCTGAATGATGCGGCAGAGTTGGGGTTGGATGGGTCACCCCGGCGCGTAACTCCGGCCTTGAGTGCCAACCACACATCAAGGGGATCGACCTAAGGTCACATATCAGTCGTTGAGAACTTCAAACAGGATATCTCGAGAAGGAACTTACAGGCCAGTCGCTACCGTGCACTGTGGGGCGTCCAGCTTCTTCGATCTGTGCATAGGCATCGAGGTTGCCCATGCGATATTCGCCAATGCTGTTGAATGTGTCCGGGATCCACATCGGAGCTAGTTGAGAGAACTGGTATTGGAACACCACATCAACGCCGAGCTCCGCGAACCGAGGCCAGTCTTCCTCAAGTGTAAGACTGGCGTGGGCGAGAGCGAGACGGATGGGGGCAGCATCAGGGTGATTACGCCGGAAGGCATCTGCAGCGTCCAAGCTGACGTGAACGGCTCGATCGCCATCGACATGTAGCTGTGCGTCGACACCGCCCAGCCACAACCCTTCCAGAGTCTTGGCCAAGATCTCAGGATCCCAGTACAAAGGGGCGATGGCACTGGGATCAGGCGCCCATTCTTGGGTTTCGTTCGTGCCGTTGCGTACAGGAAGCCAGAACGGATCCGTGTTGGCTGCTGTGCGAGCGGAGAAGGGCATTATGCCATCCAACAAGGCCTTGATCGCTTGCCATTTGAGGGTTGGCTGGGCAGCCACAGTGGAGTTGTCATTTCGAGACGCGAGCAGGGCGACGTTTTCTGCAACGACGGCATCGACAGCCTCCAATGTCGACGGCGGCTGAATGCGGTAATCAAAGTACCCGCGCGAGCTGAGCTCTGAACTCTCTTTGAGAATGTTCCAAGGACCCCAATGCTCGTTGGTAGCTAAGGCGTCTTGCCAGGTGGTGATACCGTTCTGCCGAAGAATTTGGAGCGCGGCACGCCCGGCTTCGGCGTTCTTCTCGTCAGTGAAAGCTGGAGGGCCAGCAATGAGGATGTTTGCGCCATCGAGAAGAACACCAGATGGCTCTTGTGTTCCGGGGAGGTGTTCAATTACACCACCAGGGGGTTCGTGGTTGAGTCGGTGATGTTTGAAAGCTCCAGTGCACGAGAGTTGAGGACGAAAGTGTGGTAGTCATTCGACCGGAGAGACATTGGCCGGGTCGTGTTGAGGGTGTCAAGATCCGCTTTGGTAAGGCTTTCTCCGCTGAGAGCCATGGCAACGTAGTTGAGATTGACAGCGTCAAGCCAAGTGTCTTGAGCGGTACCGTCGGTGTCTATGCATTCCTGTAGATGGTCTAAGACCTGCTGGCGGCTGAGACGTTGGTAGTTGAAGTCACATTTTAGTAGATTCTGTCCCGCCTGCAGCACATGCATGTGCACATCGACGAATCCAGGCATTGCCATGCGGCCTTCTAGGTCAAGAACTTTGGTGTCATTCCCAATCAAATGCCGGGCCTGAAGGTCATCGCCAACATATATGATCGTGCCATTCTTGATGGCCAGAGCGCTGGCCTCAGTTGAAGAGGAATCTAGGGTGTAGATGGAGCCGTTTTGGAAAACAAAGTCGGCAACATCAGGCAGAGCTTGTTGACGAGTGCGATGTTGGGCCACTGAGGAAGGCGTCTTGCTACTGGCAACGAGAGCAGCGCCGCTAAGAAGGGGCAGTATAAATCTCATGGTGAGAAGTCCGATACGAAGGACCAAATGAAATTTTCTGTGATTTAATAGAGGATGTGGAATGGTGATGGTATCAAACTAAGAGTCTGCTGATATTCAAGCGTGAGCATGCTCATTTATATCTGGTTAACCCCGCCTCTGAAATTCGGAACTTTTTCCATTCATCGTATCTACCCGGCCGGCTAAGCCTGGTGATCTCGGGCTCCGTCAGCACTCTTGACAGCGATTTCGCATCCTCACTCTGTTCATCATGCGATCGACGAGTCTCAGTAGGGAGGCCAAGACTTACTTGCGTACTCTCGCGAGATGGCAACCGGTCTCAACTCCAGCCTCCGTAGATTTCTGTGCTTTCGAGGCCGGGATCCATCCATGATGGGTTGTCAATTCCCGCGCGGCAAGTATACAAGCAGATTTCTCATGCGTAAGACCAAGACACGGCCATCTTTGTCGCCTAGAACTCGACGCTACACGACTCCGAGTTCCGGGATGACGAAAATGGCTTAGCGCTACTTTTCGGAATCAGAAGTGCAGTTCCGGCAGCACGATGAGCTGCAGTCCCAAGCTTACTTTCATCGTAGATGGAGTTTCACAGGGTATGACAGGATCCAGAGTAACGCATACGCTCTAATGATCCGCAACAGCGCCGAGTTCCGACCGCTAGGAACTTCATTTGGTGAGATATTAGAAGCTCTGACTGGTGTAAGATGTAGTTCATCACGTCCCTACTATGGTATGGCACAGCCTGGCCCCCGCTGTCTTGGCATTTGTGTATCCCACCGGCTCATGATTTGTTGTTCAAGTCTACTTACCGAATCTGCATTTCGGGATAGAGTTGAGTCTCAGAAATTAGCCCTACCTTGGATATTCGCATATTGAGAACTCTGTTCTCGGCCCTTGCATTGCTATGCTTTGATCGGCCTATCAGAACTCGAGTGGCCTTTGATCAAGAGATTCATCAAATTTTGCAACGATCAAACCTTATTGACTGTATCGGCCAACGAAGCTCCTGTAAGTTCTATCGCTCTTCCATCACAGAAACTGCTATCAAGTGAGCCAAGTAAAACCATGGGGCAGCGCACCCTGACAGCTACAAAGACAGACTTGAATGGTATCCAGTACACTATGAGTTACACCGCAAGGAGACTAGGACATACCCTGCCGGGATTCGGATGACAAAGTGGAGCGTGGAGCTAGATAGGATGAACGCCAAGATCCAGGGAGATCTTCCCGCGCGGTTACTTACAACAATGGGAGATGCCGCTGACGAAGCAAAACGCGCCACCGTAGAAGCTGTATAGATCCGTGATGACGCAGCGAGAACTTTAAACCAACGGTTCAGATGAAGTGACTAGTAATGTGCTGAAATCATGCTTCTCTCGGAACCAACGACAAGAATTCCGAGCAAGCTGCCGCGGATCGTGATGTACAGATTTCTCCGTCGATGGCTTGGCGAGGAGGGACTGTGCTTCCCCATTTGGGTCGCTCTATTTCACGGCATGGAAGAGCTCTTCTTCACGCCATTATGGTCGCTTCTATCGTCTGTGATGTCGCCCTGGTACTTGGAGAGCTCGAAGTTTGTTGCTAGTGGCTCATTTAAGACACAGTCATCGTTGTCGGAACGGGCACATCTCTCGTGACGTTCGATTGATTTGCGCCCGCAATGCTCCAGGACGCCAATGTACACCATTAGTTGACTGGTCCCAGCTTCCGTTTGTGATGTCTGCGACATAGTCTGTTATTTGATGTTGCCCGTGAGTTCTCTGGTAGCCTAGGGTTGCGTGATGGATCCGGCTTCTCCCAATTCCGTATGAAGAAAACGTCCATGGTCAATGGCTTACGAGGCTTCCAAGGAGACCCATGACATCGGAACTCGGAAAAGAGCCGGACACGGTGTTGCTTTGTGACGAAGCTCCAGATGAGGGCGGAAAGGGAATAAATCATTAATATGAATCAGTTTTCAAAGCATGCGTGCAGAAGCAAGAGGCTGGTCTCAGAACGACCACCCTACAGGTCTCGAAGGCTGATATGGCAGCTTTTGAAATAGACCGACGCCTCTCACAAGATTGGAACTCCGGGCAGAACATGCAAGCTCAGACCGATAGTTGAAGTAGCAATGTGGCTTAAGACTGGCAAGTCCTGTGTTCAAGAAGCTGAGATTAGTGAAACAAAACCATCGAAAGGACAGTTGGGAAGACCAACTTTGTCACTAAAGGATGTTCGCGTCGCACTTCAAAAACGCCACAAAACTTCTACTTACTGCATTCCTACACTGCATCTGAGAACCGTTGAACTCGTTTGGAATAATACAAATACGGGCCGTCGACACGCATCGCCCATTCAATCGATGCAACTGCCGTCTGCAATCGATATGATGTCGATCGAGACGAAGCAACCTGTGACCCAAATCAGACCTCTCCCATATGAGAACGATCCTCCCGCTGTTGATCATAAGATCAGGGGGTTGAACTCATGGAGAACAACAGTGTCTGCGGGCGCTGTCGTCGCTTCTTTCGTCCTTACTGTAAACGTGGGCGTTCTTGTCTGGGTCCGACATCGGTGTTCCAAGTGTGCGTAATTTGGGACACATATCGTTCTGGCGCGTGTGTTTGTGGGCTTTGCTATTTCTAAGCTCGATCCCACTACACCTGGTATAAGTATGAGGGGTGCTTTTTTGATTCAATCGTTAAGATGAAGGCCGAACTAACTCCTTTCAGCTACAACTCCGTGATCTTTTCAACTCTATCTTCGGTCGATTATCAAGCTGCATTGGTTACACAAGACTTTCTCAAGGGAGCCGCATGGAACGACACGGAACTCGCCATGAGCGTCCACGCATGGAGCGGGCTAGGTACAGCCAACGTAAGGCAGTTGAAAGAGATTCAGGCCTCCGCAGAAGCCGGAAGCCTTACACGCCTCGACAACTCACAGTGCATCAAGCGTATCAAAACTCATTATATGAATCGTCTTGGAAGAATCTACTGCTGGTCACGTCGGTCCCCAATAACAACAGCATCATCCAGGTGTGGACGCACAAAGCCGAGGACACCGACACTAGTGAAAACCGGCTATGCCACGGCAATGTTGGAAACTACGACAACTCGGGAAGCAACCGCGACTTCAACAATTTGGTGGCCCACACGTCTTCGTGGAAGATCGAGGGCGTCTGTCGCGACACCTCGAACTCCGGCTCATGCGGGAGCTCCTTTGACGCTCCGATTCTCTACTGCCTCGCCGAGCAATTCCCCGGAAATTGCAAAATCCAGGTCAGCACGACACTGCTGACCATCGTCATTCTTTTCAATGCTGTCAAAGTCGTTTATCTCCTGACCACGGCCTTCTCTCGCAAATTCGAGCCGCTGGGAACCGTGGGCGACGCCATCAGCTCATTCCTAGAGCAGCCGGACGACGAGACCACGAACCTAGGTCCGGTGACCAAATCCGTAGTCCAAAAGCAGTCTTGGAAGAAAGTGTACATCTCAGGATCTCGAAACATGTCTTTAACCTATAAACGAAAACCTCACCGCTGGGCTCGAGCAGTGAGTGGCAGCCGTTGGTTCATTTGCATGGCCCTGTAAGTACACGCTAAATGCATGTATCTGGGACCGCTCTTTAACAAAGAAAACTCACAGATGCCTCGTGGTGTGGTTTGCGGGGCTCTATTTATACTCCACCGCAAGAAGCGGCAGTTAGAGGTCAAACATGTCCTTCATGCAGGGATTCAACACATCGCCGGCGAACACCATAGAATTTACCCTCGGGAACTCGCTGATCTCCAATGTTCTCCTCGCAAACACGCCCCAGATCGTCCTCAGTTTTGTCTACCTCTTCTACAACAACGTATTCACCTGCATGGTCATGGCGCACGAGTACGCGCGCTTCGCATCGGTACGCAAGCCTCTGCGAGTCACCCGGCCTTAAGGCGAGCAGCGAAGCACATTCTGGCTACAGCTGCCGTACCGCTATATCGTGCCCATCATGTTAATCATGGCGTTCATGTACTGGTCAGTGTCGCGCAGCATATATCTCGTACAACTCGAGATTTATGATAACAACGGCGAGTTGATAGCCGGTCGGTCTGTTACCGGATGTGGGTACTCTCCGCCACCCATTGTATTGTCTCTGTGCCTCGGAGGTGCCATGATTCTGTTACTCCTAGGTCTTTCGGCTTGGAAATTGGACCCGGGGATGCCGATCGCGGGATCGTGTTCCCTGGTCATCAGCGCTGCTGCCCATGCTGGCCAGGACGAGGTCGACGCCGCGGCTCGTCACTTACAGTACGGCGTCATCTCGGAGGATGATACTGGTGGCAGAGATCGCCGGCGAGTGGGCTTTTCTTCGCGGCCTGTGGAGAAACTTGTTGCTGGCGAGACGTACGCGTGAGGTGACTGGACTTTGCAAATGGTCTAATATTTGTGTGAGAATTCTCCCACGGGGAGACCACGGCAAAATGTGAAAGTGTTCTCATGTTGCGTCCAACTATAACCTCAAGAGCCTTGGCTAATACCTTATGGCTCTTCTACATTGGATCGATGGCGTTGGCAACAGGTACCTATTCTTAGACCTCGTTTATGCCGCGAAGTCGACCGTTAGGCAAAGGTGATGATTCCTATTGAAGGAATATTCAAATCAAAATCACACACAAAATTGAGACCCAACTAAAAAGATGAAAGAGCATGAAGTCTTTGCCAAAGCTTGTGGATGTCGTCTCCTCCATAAGCCTGTTCCATCAAACAATCTCGAATGTCTTGACATCAGAATCTATTTCCTTCAATCCCCGTGGCCATATCAGAGCCATCCCGACTCTCCTGAACTTTGTCAATGTGTCATCAACAGGTTGAAGAAGCAAAGACCAGTAGATTCCTGAAGACTTTATGACTTCGCTCATATCGACGCACACGTGCTACCCAGCATCAGCCGCAACCTCCCATGACTTGGAATGGGAGGGCTGAAAACTCACCTCGTCTTCTCGCGGATACGCTGAGTCGCTGCCGTCCGTACTGTGGACTTCTGAGCTGTCACCTTCACTGCCGCCAACGTCACCCTTCTCAAATTCGCTGTCTTGATTTCCGGCCCGAGGAGGAAATGCTATTTCAGATCCAAAGCTTCCAGATTCGGAAATGTAGTTACTAGGAACAAACGTAAGAAGCAGGCTCATAATTCTCAGTCTTGGAGAAGTAACACGTACAATGGATCACTCTCATCGCGCTCCACGAAGGTCAGAACGAAGCAAAAGCACTCGGGAGTGTGTTCGCAGTCATCGAACACGCCAACACCAAGTATGCGCGTACCACCATCACCAAGCATTAGGAATCTCTCTGCGTTGTCCGTTTCTCCGCAATAACCCGGCCGCATGCAAGACTCGTGGGCACCGACGTCTGAAAACTCGGCTAAGCAACATTCCCACAGACACGAAGATGGAGTCGTAACCTTGATTAGCATACCAGAGGCGTCCAGAGAACCTGAATTCCCCAGACTGACGTTTTGCATGGTATGGCTCGAATTGTTCCTTGTAACCCATTCCTTCCCTCCCCCAGTGGCAGCCCAGCACCAAGATGGTAGACCGGGAAATTCATGTTGTGGCACACCCTCATGTTTCCACAGAAGCTGTTCCGCAAGCCCATGTTCCCAAATACCAAGTTCAGCTGCAAACGAATCGTCCCTGTCCTCCTTCAGTTTTTCTGCAATCCCGTGAAGAGCTAGTATGCGATCGGATGGAACTGTTAACTTCTTCTCAGAGTAACACGTGAAGCAATGAAGCCAAGAGGAGGTTTCATAGAGCCCTAATTCCCGGAAGTTCCCGCGTGTGTCGAGTTCTATTTCGTTGCATTTCCACATGACGCCCTTTGACGTGAAAAAGACAATCCTTCGACCAAGGTACCACTCTTGAAAAGCCCAGGCTCTTTCTTGTAAAGGGCCTTCAACTGAAGGATTTGAACCGCCTGGTATTGGGAGCATATTGGCTTGCTGAATGCTTTGATCAGGACCGTTGTGCACGGTGATGGGGCATCTGAAAATCGGTAGTGGGAGCTGAGGTCCGACAAGGCCTTCGGTAGAGTCTTTCGAGTTCACAGCTGCGATTACGAGGAAAGCTTTGCGATAAACCGAGGACATTCTCACTGCTTCATGCTCCCAGTCCCTTTTGTCGTCTTGTATGATACAAAGTGAATCGATCCAGATGTACTGAAGTCCGAGCGCGCTGACCAAATTGAGGGCGTCGCGAAACGTACTTGGTAGGTAGCTCCAGGGTATTGATGCAAGATGATGTTTGATATTTTCCCGTGTGGTCTTCGGTGGATGATTGTCTTCCGCTCCCCAGCAGTGACTCAACGCACAGTATGTGCCTTTCAAGCCTTTTGTTTCGACAAGCTTCGCTGAAAGAACCCCACCATCATCTTGTATGGATATAACTCGAGATGGCAGCTCTCCCGCTTCGTGCTGCTGTGTGACAGAGAGTCCACAATATTCGTGATTTTCCAAGCAATTGCTCAACAGCTTTTGAGTGATCCTAATGATCTCTACTGGGCTGTGATTGATATCTGGAGGCCAGTCAGCAAAATCGCCAGAAAACGGCGTATTCTTGCTTTCCGTCTCAACGCTATCATCGAGTGCAAAACCAGCTAAGCCCCCCAGGTCAGTGGAGAACCATGCTTCTAATCGTGATGGAGTTGACATACATTGGTCTGCCCACACGGAGCAGTGAGTAGTTGGACGCCACCCCATTCTCATTCCATTTTCCATCACCTGCCAAGTTAATGATGATATACGGTTCTCGTCAACTTTGAATTGACTTGAATGTACCCATGTCATTATGCTTAGTCGTTCGTCGTAGCTGTCCGGTATGTGGTCTGTGTCCTGGTCGTAGTCTTCGGGCCAGCTATGCCCCCCCAGTCCACTTAGAATATGGCGACATAGTCTACAGCTTTGCACAGACTTTTCAATTTCTCTTCGTTCGTCAAACGTAAAGTCTCTTTCATACTGAGTGATATCGGTATGGGGGGAGACTGAGATATGGAAGAACACGGAACACGTCTGACAAGCGTCCATGATGTACAAGACATTGGCGAGGTAGTCCGGCAGTGGCACTGGGAACTGTAGAGACGAATCAGACATTCTCGGAACTTTACAAAAGTCTTAAGAAGCAGAAGTTCGAATGAAGGGGCTCACGTTGGAAAGAGAGTGTCAGACATAAGACATGAGCAAGTGATTGACAACACATCACACATGACATGAGCTCACTGATTGGCCTCATATCACAGCCTGATTTTCAGTGAGAAGCACCATGCCTCCTACCCCGCTCCGAGAACTTCCAATGATAAGCCCGTATTCTGCAGAAGTGGAACGCAGGCTTTCACCAACGGATAGATAAGTACAGGTAGGTATGCATGATTAGTTCCTTGACTGTCAGCTTCGCCATGGTCGTGCCAAACCTCACGCGTGGCTGTGGATGGGCGAAAATCATATTTGATGCACTGGTAAAATTTGGTAGACTGATGTCAGTTCAGCGCATGAGCTCCGGGAAGAGTGAGATCCAGTTGTTTCGGAGTTAAAGTCCGTCACCGGCCCCACTTCTCCGCACACCGGTCCCGGCTTGTTTTATGATTTATGAGTGAACTCGTATTCTTTCACTGCCTTTAAAATTCCTTTCTCTCGCGAACGAAAAACCCCGAAAGAATCATCAGCCACCTCAAGCAACAGAAACACCGCCGCCATGTGACCCAACTAATACCGCCATGCCCTCCACTCACAATCCTCCCTTCGTCTTGATCGGACACCCCTTGCGCTTCCCCCACTCCTCAATCGGCGTCAGCTTGGCCGGAAACTCCTTCAAGACCGGCCCCATATCGACCTTGAAAGGCTTCTCCTCGGCCTCGTTGTACCAAGTGTAAGCCTTCCTCGTCTCCTCAACCACAGTCTCCACCTCCTTGCCGGACTGCGACTCCAGCGCGCCCTTCAACGCCGCCGCCATCTCCCCCGCGAAGTCGTCCACGCTCTGATTCTCGTGCCCGACCTCCCGGCCCCACGCGCGGCCGAGCTTCGCCGCAAGCTGCGACAACCGCACCGTCTCCGGCCCGCCCACCGGTATGTCCCGCCCGTCAAGCTCCTTCGGATCCCGCTCCAGCGCGGCAACCATCAGCGCGGCCAAGTCATCGTGACAGATCCAGGAGACCTCGAGGTCAGGCTTGTGGCAGTACACAATGCGCCCCTCATCCCTGAGACGCGGCAGCGCCCAGCCCTCGAGCAGGTTATCCAAGTACACCACCGGCTGGAGCGAGAGCACCGCAACGCCACTCCCCTTAGTCGCCTCCCTAAGCACGCGCCGCATCTCCCGGCGGGTCTCCTGCGCCTCGATGCCGGCATCCTTCTCCGGAACAGGGAAGCTCGTGTTGAAGACGACGAGCTTCACCGTCGCGGCCTGCGCAGCGGCCTCCTCCCCGATGGCCTTGGCGGCAGCGACCAGGGGCTCGCGGGGCTGGAAGGACGGCAGGTTGAGAAAAACGGCGTCCGCGCCCGCAAGCGCGGCCGGGAGCGTCTCGACGGAGGTGAAGTCCGCGGTGCGGGTCTCCGCTGCAGCTGCAAGTGCAGCGCGGGCGGCGGCGTCAGCAGCATCACCGTCTGCATCGGAGGATTTGAGGGTGGTGGGGTCCACGGATCGCCGCGTCACGGCGATGGCGTGGTGAGATGCGGAGGCGAGGGCGGAGATCTGGGCGGCGCCCTGGACACCGGTCGCGCCGAATACTGCGACGCGCATTGTGAGTCAGATATCCTCTCTTTCTGAGTCAGATTTCCGCGGGTTTTTGGCGATGACTTGGGAAGTGAGGGGTTTGCGTATGTGTGTCTCGGGTGAGGTCGTATGCCGAGTGGACGACTGGTCGACTAGTTCGACAGTAGTGTGGAAGGGGGAAAACAGGAGACGGCGGTGTCTGTCTGTTGGCTCGGGTCAACTTTTCCGTTGCACCGGCTGCTCAACACCGTGTGTGTTGGTTCCCAGAAGACTCTGGAATCCACCAATGGCTTGCTTTTGTTCGTTCAATCAGGGGCACGGTTCGAGATGTTTGCTGTTTGCTTAAGTGGCAGGTTGCGCAATTCACACTGGCTTCATAAGTGGATTTCGAATCTAGCGAAATTGCACGACATCGAGAGACTACACGAGGGTCCAAGTAGAACGCGACTTCTACCATCTTGGAAGCCCACTAACTGGTTATACGCAAACTGTTTCCCCCCCCCCCCCGGAGGCTGAAAGAGTTGTGATTGTCAAGCTCAGAAAGAGCTCTGGCAATGATTCACGCGGCGTTGATCCTGAAGTCCAGGAAAAGCTTTCGCGAGCATTCCCCCTGCATCCAACTTGATCCGAGCCACCATTTCTTCAGTGGCGGCGTTCTAATCTGCTAAGACTATGGTAATTCTTCTGCTGCAAGCCTTACTGGCTCTGTCGGGGTCTGCAAGCTGGGCTCTTGCAGACTAAGAAGACAGCAGCCTGAGACATGGCTTGAGGTGCCAATGCTGGAGAACTGAGACTCTCGACTCACCCTGTATTGAAACATTGCGGGGGCGGGGCTTCGGGCGGATCTTGTCCCCAGAACCCCGAGATCTAAGGACCCAATGTGTTGGCCAGTCAGGTATTACATATTCACAACCGGGTCTTCGCTACCGACGTACAACGTTGTGCTCCGGCATGACGATGTTGTCTGTCAAAACAGCTTCTAACCAATGAGAAAGATGGGAGGGATATCTGCACCCGAGCCCAGGGAGTTGGGAGCGTTTCGTGGAGTTAGCATAGTCACTTATAGCTAGCGGCCTTTACTCTGAACTCGTCTCTTGCGTGTTGTTCTTGAGGCTCAGTACTCATGGTGACACCTAGTCTGTTCAAATAGATCGCCAACATGGCCATCTCAACAGCACCTCCAGCTTCGACGTCAACCTCAGACATATCCAACGAAAAGATAGACCACCAAACCCACCAACATGTTGAAACCACAACGCCAACTACCCCCCCCTCCGAAGTCGACCTTCAAACCGACGGGAAACTCAGCAAAGAAACCATTCTCGCCATCATTGTATGCCATCCCTCATCCCAAACTGCCGCCCATCAAAATCTAACACTGCTCATCCCACAGGCACTATGCGGCCAGATCAACGCCTACGTAATGACAATGCTCATCCCCTCCACAACCCTCCCCTACATCAACGCCGACCTCGGGCCCTCCCCGAACTCGACCTGGATCACCGTCACCTGGACCCTCGGCGCCTCCATCCTCGTCTCCGTCGGCGGCCGCCTCTCCGACATCTTCGGCCGGCGCTACTTC